CACCAAAGAGTGTGCAGTTCTCTCTTGTTCCATGCCTTCCTGGTAGCTGAGTGTGTGTCCAGCCTCTGCTCTCACTAACCCAGAAGCCAATGCCGCTCCCTCAGGTACAGCCTCGGCTCTGCCTGGGATTGGGCATAGGAGTGCCTCCCCTGTTTCTGGAGGTGTGTGATCCTGCCCTGTACTGAACTACACAAACAGCAAACAGAGAACTGGATTCACAATTGCTGTCTCTATCACATCCAACAGGAGACAGATGGTGAGTGCCTACGAACATACCAACATACAATCATCAATTAAATATAAACACAACAACACCACATAATTTGGAGAAATCAGGCAATGCAGGCTACACAAAGAAACAAGACAGAGTGCCTCAAACAAGTGACCAAAATAGAGAATCAGAAAATATATTACTAGAAATGGTATCAGAACCACTTGATAAGAAATTTTAAATAATGATATTTAGGTACCTTCAACAGATTGAGAAAAAGACCAAGGAATGCAAGGAGAACACAGGAAAGAAAAAAAAAAAACTTTACAAGAATTCAGGAAAACACTACACAAGAACAGACTGATTGATTCAATAAATTAAAAAAAGGAAACCAAACAAAAACAGCAGTTAGAAAGTAAGATTAATTCTAAGACTTTAGAAATAGTACATTGGAAGGTCAAAAATTAGAATTGAATCAAAGTAAGGCTGAATTACTGCTAGAGAGAAAATCAGAATAAAGAATGAAAAATCCAAAGAAAACCTAAGATTTATGTGGTACACTATCAAGAGGAATAACTTAACGTTTGATTGGGATTCCAGAACAGGAAAATACAAACAAAAAACAGAGAAAATTATCCAAGAGTTGTTGGAAGAAAACTTCCCTAACATGAGGAAAGATGAGAAGATAGCCATTCAAGAAATTATCTAAACTCCAAATAGCACAGACCCCTAAAGAAAATGCCCAAGATATAATCAAACTTTCCAAAAGCAAAGACAAGGAAAGAATCCTGAGAGCAGCTCAAGAAAAACAGAGTTACTTTTAACAAAGCTCTGATTTTGCAGCAGAAACCATGCAGCCAAGAAGACAATGGATTGACTTATATAAAACTCTGAGTGTAAAGAATTGCCAACCAAGCATCATATACCCAGCAAAATTGTCCATTAAATATCATGGCGAATTCAGGACATTTCCAAATAAACAGAAAGTAAAAGAATTTGCAAAAACCAGATCAACCTTCCAAAACATAGTAAAGGAAGTCTTTGGACAGAGAACTACCAAAGAACAGCAGCAGAAAACAACCTGAAACTAACATACATGACAATATCTCCCAGAACTCAATCCATCTATAAAAGTATTCAAAGTAAAACAAACATACAAGACTGAAAATATGGAGCCAGAGATACCAGTTTACAACAAAAATATGAAGTAAAGAGAGGGAATAATTTCATTCCAGAACTTCAAAATGATGATGAAATAAAGTAGATATCAAGAAAATAAATAAATAAAATAAACCTAACTATAACCCTAAAAGCTGCAGTTCTGGTGTGGTGCTGTGGGTTAATGTGTCAGACTGCAAAACTGTTTGAACCACAAGGTTGGCTGTTCAAGCTCACCAGCTGCTCCTTGGAAATCCTATACAGGGTCTCTATGGGTCAGAACTGACTCGACAGCTCTTAACAACAGCAATGTTAAGTGGAGAGAAAAAGAAGAAAACAATATACTGTATGATTTCAACTACATAAAAAAAAATGTACATACATGAAAGAAACCCTGGTAGAAAACGTGCTAAAGAAAGCATAGATGATTTTTAAAATGTTCTTCTATGTTTCAGTATTTAGTTATTTGTCTTCTTTAAAATATCAATTGTTTACTAACTGGTAAGACATTTTCCCATTATCTCTGTTGATAGTAGATGAACTCATTTACATTTCATTATAAGGAACTATTGTAATTTTTTGAGCCTCTGGGTAGCACAAATGGTTAAGTGCTGAACTAACAGTTGAAAGATGGGTAGTTCAAATCCACCCAGGGGCATCTGAGAAGTGAGGACTGGCAAGTTGTTTCCAAAAGGCACAGCTGTGGATCAGTTCTACTCTGCACACTCGGGGTTGCCAGGAGTTAGGATCAACATGATGGCAACATACAACAGCATAATGTTCTAGAGGCTGTCACCATAATTTATGTGATTTAAGTTACATTTAAAATCAGGAATCAGATGTTTTTTGTGCTTTTTCTTTTCTGATTCTTCTGTTTTGAATTTGATATATTGAATATGTATAAAGTCAGAATATGTTAATAGAGCCAAAATGTGTTCAAGAGATAGGTCAATACTCAAACCATTGTAACTCTAGATTTCATGTTCTTCATGCTCCTGCTCATGTGACCAGTTTGCAGCACTGTAATTTCAAGAGTTTAGAAAAGACCTCAGTGTCTGTCAATAAGGATACTGAATACATAAATTATGATACTTTGGAAGCGTAATTTGGCAAGATGCAGAAGATGCTACCATTTGTGTTAATAAAAGGGAATGGTGTCGGGGACCAGCCTCAACATAGGGGTTCGGTTCACGAGGAGGAGATACCTGGCGGCGATAGAGATAGCGAAAGAATATACAGACAGACAGGAGGAGGGAGACAATGAGGCACCCCAAAGCCAGGGTGGATACATCACTGGTGGGCAGACTTGGGGAGTACAGGCATCGTGGCCTCTGCAGGCAGCAACTCACTGCCCTGCAATCTTTACTGCATGCCCTCCAACCTGTAATGCACTGCAATCTTTACTGCATGCCCTCCATCTTGTAATGCATACCTGGGGAGGCCTGGGCCTCTGTTTTATTTAGGGGAGGAGCTTCACACCAAGCTGGGAGGGACTAAAACAGGATACAGCTAGCATCAGTAATTTTCCAGACATTCAAGTAACTTTACATCGTACTTCGCTGGTTCGAATCCCAGGCCCGCAACTTGGTTTCTCGGGCTCAGTTAACATATCTATAGCCCCTGAGCTCAGTTGGGGGAAGGTGAGAGATAAGGACAAAAGCTTGGGCGGAGTCCCACTGTTTTGGCTTCCTGAGCCAGGTTTTCAGGAACTTGACTGAATAGCTAACACTTGGGAGAGATTCAGGGAGGATGGCTTTTTTGTCTGTAGAACAAAGAACTGTGAAGTAGCAAAAATATTTTTAGTTAATCCTTTGGAGAAAGGCTTGACCTTTGAAACCTTTAGTCTAGGCTTTAGGAGGTTCTAATATTTCTCTGTGAATAATAAGGGCTCATATTTGCAATTGATAAAACATAACCGGATATTAAGATGAAAAACAATTTGCCATTAACTGCCAAGTGGCTAGATCTGTTACACTTGGCCCTATAGGGCCTCGAACCTCTGACCAGGCTCACACGGTCTGCAACAGAGTGGGACAAATACATATTCATATTTAGTTGTGTAAATATACAAAGAAGTTTGTGGAAAAATTTAATTCTCTTTTCATTCCATTTTTCCAATAACGTTTTGTTGTTGTTAAATGCTGTTGAGTCAGTTCCTACCCATTGTGACCGTGTATAGGGTTTCCTAGGAGTGGATGGTGGGCACAAACTAACAATATTGTGGTTCAAACTGACTTTACAGTCCAGTGCATTAACCCACAGCACCGCACCAGGACTCCCATGAACTTTTTGAAGCCCCCTTTTATAACACCCCTGAAAGGAAACACAGGATTTAGGTAATCAGAATCCACTTAACAACAACAACTTCACTTTTATACTTTTGGGTTTTGAGTCATCCATATATATTACTAAGGAGCTATCAGCCATTCTGCGTAGAAAGATGAGGCTTTGGCCTCCCTTAAAGATTTACAGCCTCAAGAAACCCTGTACAGGATGACTATGAGTCGGAACTTACTCTATGACACACCACCACCACCATATATTTAAAAATAAGTAAAAATCCCTGCTTCTTGATTTTTCTCTGACCATGCAACTACTTTGTTCATAGATTTTTAATTTAGTGTTTTTTAATTTATATGTGCAAACTGAATATATATGCTTGTGATTTTAAGAAAATGCAATCTCTCTCCCGTTCCTGAACCCTGACCTCCTAACCCCCTTAGGTAGCCCCTGTTCCTGGTTCCTTTTTAATTCTTTCCACTTTTTCTCCTCTAGTGCCCTGCTAACCCTGAGCACGAAGTAGGTTCTTTGTCCTACCAAAACTAAATCTGAAAATAAGGATCTCATTTTAGTAACCAGGTCTTTTGTGGGTATTTTTGGAAGCCTCGTATTTCCACCCAAATTACAGCTTCTGTTACAGCCCTTGGTTTCTGCCACATGATCATTACCCTCCCACCCTAATCACAGTCCACCACTCAGTAGTTAAATGTGCAAATTCCTTTGTGACTTTGAAATACAGCTTTCATGTGATCCTAAGGAGTTGTGAACAGATGAGGACCCCTAGCAGCAGCGTCTGTGTTTTCCGCACCTGTAACTGTCTAGAATGCTTCTTACGTTGCCATCATCAACGTGCTCGGGAGGTGTTAGGGGAATGAGTCATGGGTGCTTGTGAAAGAGCTGGACCTTTTGGGAAAGATCATCTCAGGAATGTTTTGTCAAATTCAAGAACCTTGTCTACATCTGCTGATCCTGGCCAGCTTGGGAGAGGCTTGGAAGGTACACAGCCTGGCATGGGGCGGCCGGCCCTCAATGCAGGTGTAGGGGCTGGCACTCTGGTTAGCAAGGGTGATGGTTAAAAGTAAACATTGCTTCTCTGGGTCACAATGTACTACCAAATCAAAGTCAAAATTTCATACAACAGCGGCAGGACCACTTCTGACTCTAACTGTCTCCCACCCACACACCCAGACTTGTAGCAACCTCAGCCCACGGTGTACAGTATGCTGGCCAGTAGGAGCCCCGCTCTGGAATTTAGGGAAACCAGAAGTAACTAGGCTGAAGAGCCAGCTGTGGGAGGGAGACTTGGGCCCGAGCCCACAGCATGTTCAAACTGAACCCTCTTGCTTTGCAGGGAAGTTAAAGGAATGGAGTCTGATTTTGTATGGCACAGCTGAGCACCCATACAACACCTTCAGTTCCCACCAGTCACGCTCACGGATGCTAGAGCTAGCCAGCCCAGAGCTGGAGCCATCCAAGGTAGCTGTGCTCCCAGGCCAGGCCGAGGTCCCCGAGGAGGAGGAAGAGTACACAGGTAATGTGTCTGAAGCAGGAGGAGCCAGCTAGCCACAGTGGTGTTTGCTTTTCCACTGCAGCTCTTACCATGTGGGCTGCTCCTGGCCAGAGGTGGGGTGATGATTGTGTGCCTGCTCGGTCCTGGACATTATAATAATGATGGTAATTTGCACTCACACAGCTTCTCCCATCCCAGGCTCTCCTAGTATTTTACAGATGAGTAAGTATGCTTCAAACCAGTAAGTATTCTCCCCTCTTCCCAGACTGGGAAACTGAGGCCCTATATGCCCAACCAGAACACAGCTCTGCTTCCTGGTCAGCTCGCCTCCTCCTGAGGTACTGCCTGTCCCACTCAGGCTCCTGTCTCCCTTTTAAGCCCACCCACATTCGGTCCTTGGAGGTTGATAATAGACCCAGCCCTCTGGGGTTGGATATACAGAGTCAGGAAAGGAGCTACAATTAGAGATCTGGACCGAGGCTCTAAGAGCTGTGATTAGAGACTGAGAACAAGAGCTCAAGACAGTCAGTCTGTAGATACTGATGCTGCATGAAAAAAGCCCTTACCAGTCTCACAGGTGGTAGAGACACCTTTGCAAATCCACTGTCTTTGTTGCCATGTGGTGCTGGCCCCAGCGTGCCTTATCAGGGTCACCGAGCCCTACAGTACTCAGCAGTGGGCTCCAGACTTCCAGCTGCTGGGCTGGGCACATTTTTTATTAGCATGTTCGATAGAAAGCAGTCGCCTTCTCAGGGAGCCATCCCACACAGGTTTGTGAGAGGCTGCCATGGTTCTGGTTTGGCATATTTTCTTGAGCTAAGTATTACAGCTACATGATAAATGATGGGTGATATCTCAGAAGGCTGGTGCTCTGAATTCTGTCATCACTTCTGAAAAAACATTACAGAATGGAGAATTCCACCAATACCAATCAAGCATAAATTGTGGTCGATTCCATTTTAAATTTCTGCTTTGAAACCGAGCATTGAATTATGTATGGACTAATCTTCTCAGTTCCCCCTTGTGATTCATAAATGGCAGCAAGATTCTGTAATTATTTTTTTAAAAAACAACTGTGTTCCCCTGGGAATATGTTCTTGGCTTTACCTTGTACACTGGACACCCACTATGATATGGTTCTGCAGGTTCATTCTCCCACCTTTACTGAACCTGGTAGAGCCCAACCTGAGGGCTCAGGGCCCAGGTGGAACAAGTGTACCAGTAGCAATAGGAAAAGCCTGAAGAAGACTAAGCCAGCACAGCAGAGAGAGCACTCCACTGTGGGCATATGGGGGAGGGAGAATCCTTGTGGGTTACCAGGGCAGCTGGGGAAGTAGAAAACAGGACAGGCTATGGGGTAAAGCACTCCTTGCATCCTGGGTGGAAGCAGCTTTGGTCATTAGACTGGGTTCAGAGGCCCAGGGAGAGAGAAGGGGTGGGCTTGACGTGGAGCAATGACTAGGAAAAACTTTACCAGAGCCACTCAGTAGTTTTTGCAAAGGAAGTCTAGTGCAGGGTCATAGTGAGCTGAAACAGTCTACAGCTCAGCACTCCAGGACTCACTCCCCAGAGCAGACCAGTACCCCCCAGACCCTCCTTGGTCTCCTTGTACCCTACCCTCACCCCATGTCTCCTGTGTTATGGTGAGGCTCTGGTGCACTGACCCTCAGCTAAACCCTCCTGTGCCTTTGGAAATCCATCTGATACATAACAGCCCTTTAGCCAGCCACTCCCCACTTGCTTATTTGTGTGCTTTACCCTGGATTCACTCCACAAAGGATTTAAGGTGGTATTTTCAAATAAACTTGTGACAGTGTAACACAGTGGTTCAGGAGAGTGCTGTGAGCTGTAGTAATGGCGCTCCGCTTGCACACAGAGCCTCCTGTTATGAGTGACGGGAAGCTGCATAGGAAGCCATTGGTTCTTGGAGGAACAGCCACACTCATTGAGATGAGAGGAAAAGCAGACATAAATGCACATTGCAGAACAGATCACATATACTCTCCCAGAGAATAAGTTGCAGCTGCCCAAAGAGAAACACACGCATTCTTAGGAGTGATGGAGAGGCTGGGTAGGATGGCCAGGGATTAAATTCAAGAATGCTTGATGTGAGAGATGACTCTTGATATTTGGCTTCTGAAAACACTTCAAGTAGAGAGCCATCTGGGGAGACTGCTCTGCCCCATCAGCCCCCGAATTTCACCTTCTGCTCATGCCCAGGGCTTCCCCTCAGCAGGCCCCACAGAGTGGAGAAGGGCTAGGGTCAAGTCCACGCACACAGGGAGAGAGAGGATCCCACTCCAGGCCCCTCCCGGCTGTCCAGTCCTGGGCAGCAAGTATTCTGTGTGTCCTCTTTTCATCTGCTTGCATATGATCCATCACTCATCCTTCCATCATGTGGCAAATGTTCACATGATTCTAGGAGTCACTACAGCAATGACCAACTGGCACAAATCCCTTTTCCCACACCTGTAAGAATTAAGGACAGTGGTCTCTCCTCCCTGTGCCCCCCAAACCTTCTCAAGATTGAGGAAACTATTCACTATTATCAAACAAATGGAGCAAGCATGGCAGGGAAAAGGCTGTAGGGTCATTGGGTCACATGTGTTATCATGGCCCACTGCAGGGCTGGAGACTAGTGCCCAAGCATGTGTGTTTGGGGCTCAGTGGGTTATTAAACGGTGCAGTGCAGCAACGCAGTTCTGTGGGTGTCTCCATAGAAGACCTAGGATGAGACTGAGCAAGCATCAAATCTGCCAAAGGGAGTACAAATGAGAATTGAGCCAGTCCTCTTCTAAAACAGCCTGAAGCTGAGAAGTTCAGGGGACAGTGGGCTCTGGAGCAGGGAGTGACAAACTTAGAAAATGGTAGTTCATAACTTCCATACTGACTACATCTCCCATGCCAACCCAAGACCAGGGGAGATGGGTCTAGAATGCCCAAGGATGAGCACAACACTGAGAGGGCTTTGCAGTGGGGGGACAGGCAAGGCAAGCCCACAGAGAAGACTCTGGGAACATCAACAATGGCAAAACTTCAGGGAGGAGAGCAAAGCACACCAGTTCTAACACCAAGAAAATCTGCATTCGAATAAAGGAGGATTTGTGTGACTTTCAAAGAGTCCTATCCTGGAAAGTAGAGAATGGAGACTTGTTCTTTCTCTGGAGTCCCCCATGAAATCCTGGTGGCCATCGGATTACCTCCTGTTTGCTTTTGAGCCACACCCCACTCCCTCCAGCAACTAAAACTTTTGTAGATTATTTTTCTTTCAAAGGCCTCGATACTGTCCCTTTTAGCCCGGTCTCTGTACCTGTCCAGTGGAGCTGTCCATTCAGCAAGGTGGTAAAGTTTTCCTGGCCTGTTTACCTGGTTTGGGAGGACAGGCAGTCGGAGCCCACCTCAGTGCCAACTTCAGTGGGTCATGGTCTGAATGGTGCCTACATACATTCTTCAGATTAAACTGCAGAGGACCCCCAAGCTGGCTGCAGACAGTGGCCCACCCACCTCCAGGAGGATAGAAATTTGAAGCAGGCTCACTAGAGGGAAGAGCCCAGTGGGGCGAGGTTTGCAGAGTCCACTGAGCCTTCCTAGGTTTCTCTCCATCACTTCCCCAACAACATGGGCCCTGGATTTGGGATGAGAGGACACTCCAGGGTCCACACTAAGGGCTGGAATGAGAGAATCCTAAAAGGAAGTCTGCTTGAAATAAAGCCCAGCCAGAAAGTACCACCACCCCAGACCAGACACCCACATCCTGTCACTTCCCAAACCTACCCAGCAGCACAGCCATACCCAGGGGTCCTGCACACAGGGACACTCCCCAGGTAGGGAATTCTCTGCCTAATTCATGTCGAATGATCAATACTTGGGAACAGCTACCTAAACTCGCCATCCTGGCTGCTTTATCCTGCACAGAATCAAAATCAGAAAGGGGCTAGCCAACACGACTTTGCTGCTTTGAGGATCCCTCAATTCTGTCTCATCATTGACCTTGGTCCCTGTCCCTTGGTTATTTTATTGGCTCCACAGGATCCCTGTGTGCAGTGCCCAGCCTGCGCCTGCATCCATTACTCTGAGGAGGGCCCATTCCGGCTCTGCCTTCTAGCCCTCTGTGTCACAGCTGGCTCAGAATGCGTCTCTAGGGATGAAAGGAAATTCTTGTCTCTTTAAGGTGTGTGCCATCCAGAGTGTGGTGACAAAGGCTGCGATGGTCCCAATGCAGACCAGTGCCTGAACTGTGTGCACTTCAGCCTGGGCAACTCCAAAACCGGCAGGTAACGGGAGGGGTGGCAGGGCTGCATGCCCCTTGGCCTCACCGAGGACACCCATCCAGCTGTGCCCTTATCCCCCCACAACCTGATGCCCCAATTATGACTCACTGTAGCATCCCAGAAAGGAATCACATTGACAGTAACAGCTTTTCATTTAAATGTTTCTAGTAACCTTTTGTTGTAATCACACAAATACATGTCCATCACAGAGAAATCAGACACTGTAACATTTTGGTGTCTAAAATTTTAAACCTTTTTTCTTAGTCTCCTAAGACTGCTATAACAAAATACCGCAAACCAGGTGACTTTTCAAGAATGGAACTTTATTGTCTCACAGTTCTTGAGGTTTGAAGTTCCGATCAGCATAATTATGGGCTGTGTTTGGTTCTTCTGAGGCCTCTGAGAGGAACTGTTCCATGCTTGTCTGCTGGGCTCTAGTGACTTCTGGCAGTCTGTCTTCACCCTGTGTGTGCATCTGTATTGGTGTCCGTCCTCTTTATAAAATAACACTCAGAAATGATTAGGGTTAGCACCCTCCCTACGCCAGTGTCACCTCTATGGTCGTTGTTGTGAAGTGCCATTGAGTCAATTCCCACCCATAGCAACCCTGTACAGGGTTTCTAAGGAGCAACTGGTGAGTCTGAACCCGCTGACCTTGCAGTTTATACTGACTTTGCAGTCCAGTGCATTAACCCACAATGCCACCCCAGGACTCTGATAGCAGTTACAAAGAAAAGCCCTATTTTCTCAAACAATGCCACATTCCTGCATGAGGGTATCAACATACCTCTTTTTTGGGGTGGGGAGCACAATTCAGTCTATAAGCAGGGTCATATTGAGCATGCCACGGTAGCCTCTGGTGTATACATACCAAGGTGGTTTTAGGGCTGTGCTGTTCTCAGCCACCCTGTCTCCTTTCACAGCCTGGGCCTCCTTGTTCCTTTCTCAGAGCTTTTGTCACACTCTCCTGGGAGCTCCCAAGAGACTCGGTGAAACTTGCTCCCCAGAGGGGTGGAACTGCTGGTAGTTTAGAACTGTTGACCCTGAGGTTAGCAGCCTAATTCGTAACCACTACAAGATTGCTATGAGTCAGAATGGACTCCATGGCACATAACGACCACCAGCACATCACCACCAACATTAGGTAGCAGCTTACCTAATACCCCAGACATTGGAAATCCACAAGTAATACGTGGCAGAGGCTTAGTTTGTGCACGGCTCGCTCTCCACCCTAGGGCATTTCTAAACACAGCTACACTCAATCTACTGAGCCCTAAGATTAGCCAGCAGATCCCAGGGGGTGCCAGAGGTGCATGTTCTAAAGCCAGCTACCAGGGAGCCTCAGAAAATCTGTGAGGAAATGGAATGAAAAGTTGGTAGGTTCCTTCAGGACATGAGAGGCAGCTTCACGCCCTCCTGCTGGATTGACTGCATGGAGAAAACTCAGGTTTCTATCAGTGCTCAGGGCCTCCAGCTGTGTTCCTACAAACCTCCCATCTGCACCAAGACTGGGGCTCTAATGCAAATGTTCAGTATTCATACCTGGGGCCTTTGTTCCTCAGTTTTGCTGATCAGGATGGGACCCTAAGCCAGCTGCCTGCCTGGGGCTGACCTGTGGCAGCTGGGCTGAAAAGGCCTCACAACCTTCTTCCTACAGGAAGTGTGTGAGCAACTGTCCCTTGGGCTACTTCGGGGACACAGCAGCAAGGCGCTGTCGCAGGTGTTACAAGGGCTGTGAGTCCTGTTCTGGGAGAGCCCCCACCCAGTGCCTATCCTGCCGCAGCGGGTTCTACCACCATCAGGAGATGAGTACCTGCGTAATGCTATGTCCTGTAGGTTTCTACGCAGAGGAAGGTAAGTGCATGCCCTCGACTGCATGAAATGATGGGGATGGACTCACAGCAGGGGGAGCCAGCTGTCCTGCCTTTCCACCTGCAAGGTGATGTGATGGGCAGGACTCAGGCTGAGACATCACCTAGCCCTGAAAGAGGTACAGTGAAGCATTTGGATTAATAGAGGAATGTCGCTAAACAAGTTATGGAGAAGTGATCACTGTGATGTTGGAGAGGGTCCCACTGGGGGAAGGGGCCCTAACTGTAATGCAGCTCTTCTTGCTTCTGTGGAGGAGGCAAGGACATAGTAGTAATGGTAGTTGTTGTTAAGTGCCATTGAGTTGGTTCTGATTCATAGTGACCCTGTGTGGGGTTTCTGGGGAGCAGCTAGCGAGCTTGAACCAGTGACCTTGCCGTTCAAACTGACTTTGCAGTCCAGCGCATCACCCCACAGTGCCACACAGTCATATAAAGTCATCAAGGACTCAGAGTCTGAGGGAAAACATAGCACTGCAAGACCCATTTCACAGCCTTGTCAAATCCTGTCCTGGATTGCCAAACAGAGCTGCTCTCGGTGGGGTCTCCATTATCCCAGCCTCTCCCAAAGCAGCACCAGCCATGCTCATTCACCCACTGTCCTAAGTGAGCACCTAAGGCGGGCCACAGGAGGGGACTGGAGAAGATGCAGCACTGACCTGGGAGATGAGATGAGGCCCACGGTGCCTGGACAGGGTGGTATTTGCTGAGTTGCTCCATCGATAGACCTAGATGATAAAGTCTCCAAATGGAATGGGCAGACATCGGTTCAGAAGAGTCCCCCTGTGAAAGGTGCCAGTCTCCCTGATTCCTCTCGTGGCTCTTCTGGTGAGGGGTGGCCTCCAAAGCCTCGTGATTGCGGGAGACTTTTGGCTTACCCTAATATGGAGAGGGGAAGAGGCCTGCATTCTCAGTGTGGCCTCTGCTGTCTTACTCATTCTCATCCCTGCTGGTGGCTGGCCCTGGTGAAGACTGTCCTCCACCCTGGTTTGGAGTGCTGCAGTCTCACTGACCCAGATTTCACTCACCTCAGCTCTTCCCTTCACCTGTTCCTCACCGTGCTATTTGTCCCCAGCTCAGAAAAACTGCCTTAAATGCCACCCAAGCTGTAAAAAGTGCATTGATGAGCCAGAGAAATGTACCGTCTGCAAAGAAGGATTCAGGTAAGGCCTTGACTTTATACCTGAAGAGTGCCAAATGGTTTCTACCCTTTGGAGATTTTGCAGTTGATTTATGAAGCTTTTGTATCTCTGTCTAAAAGCTAAAATTTCAGAGGCCCAAAGACTTTAAGGATAAATATTCTAAATCCATTAAATCATATTTCTTTCTCTTTTATTCTTGTCTTTTTGTTGTAAATTGAGTGAAGGTTTATAGACAAGACCATTAACTTTATATTTAGCAAATCATTTTGTTTCATCTGCGCATTTGTTAGTGTTTCATCTCAGTGGTTACAGTCTCCTCCCTGCAACAACCTCCTTGTGGTTCCCAATTTACACCATATTTTTCACAAATGAACAAAGCAAAAATATTTGCTGTACACATATAAAACAAATTTATTTATTTATTTATTTATTTATTTATTTATTTATTTATTTATTTATTTATTTATTAAAATGCCCAAGGGGCTCATTCAGTAAGCCAGCCTCCTACCCTAAGGCACACAGCCCTCTCAGTACACCGAACTGGAGCCTGCAGCTGCTCTGTCTCTCCCTGCTGTCACCACCTTTCCAAGTACGGATCTCACATTCCACTCATGGTCTTCTTTCTTGATGGTCCTGGGATAGTCTGTTCAGAAATAAAATATTAACTACTCCCCACTTTTAGTCATACATCTTCTACAGTTTTATAGTTTTGACAATCACAATCTCACTAACAATTACAGTTGAATCATAAAATTCTATCCCCATCACCCCCCACCCCCTTTCACCTGACCTTTCTGGAAAAGCGGAAAACTATTCAGTAGGGATTCTACCTAACCCCCTTCATTCTGAAACTAAGCATACTCATGAAAGCTAGTAAAGCAGCCACTTCATGCCTTTATGTTGTTGTTTTGTTGTTAGTGCCGTTGAGCCGGTACCAACTCATAGCAAACTTATACACAACAGAACAAAACACGGCCTGGCCCGGTGCCAACCTCACAGTCACTGCTATGCTTGAGCCCATTGCTTTTGCCACTGTTTGAGCCCATCTTGTTTGGGGTCTTCCTCTTTCTTACTGACCCTCCACTTACCAAGCATGACATTCTTCTCCAGAGACTGGTCCCTACTGATGATATGTCCAAAGTATAAGAGACAAAGTCTGGCCTTCCTGGCTTCTAAGGAGTACTCTGGCTTTACTTCTAACAACACAGATCTGTTTGTTCTTTTGGCAGTTCATGGTACTTTTAATATTCTCCTCCAACACTATAACTCAAATATATCAATTCTTTTACTATTTTCCATAATCACTGTCCAACTTTCACATGCATAAGGTTATTGAAAATACCATCACTTGGGTCAGGTGCACCTTAATCTTCAAATGAAAATCTTTGCTCTTGAACACTTTAAAGAGGTCTTTTGCAGCAGATTTGCCTAATGCAATATGTAGTTTAATTTCTTGACTACTGCTTCTAAGAGTGTTGATGATTGGTCCAAACAAAATGAAGTCTTTATATGAATGCTGTTTATTGATCCAGTGGTGAGGACTTTTGTTTTCTTGACATTGAAGTTCAACCCATGCCAAAGACTGTGGTTTTTGATCATCATCAGTAAGAATTTGAAGTCTTCTTCACTTTCAGCAAGCAAGGTTTTTTATATCCTATGTCTAAATTGCCCAGTTCTATTAGCCCAGTAAACTGAGGAGGCAAGCATGTTCCTTATTACGGCGAATCTTCCAGTTATAATTTTGAGCAACTACATCCATAAGCAAAAGTCCATTTCATCGAAGTGTGCCAATTTGCACTTGCTCACAGTGTCAGTTTCTGGTCAGCTTAACACTAGCCATCCAAGCTAATCAAAGGGTTTGGTAGCTCACCTCCCTACCCTTCAGACCAGCTGGCCCCTTCACCTTCATACCCAGCTCTCAGGGGCTAGGTCAGTGCCCGTAGGCTCAGGAGTTCACAAAATTCCCTAAACTTCAGACCAGCCATGCCTTCTTTCCTCTTCTCTCTCATATCTCAGGGTCAATGGATGCCAATGGAACATGTCCAAACTCAGCCTTCATTGCTGCATTTCCCCTACTTACACTCACAAGTAGGCACAGGTGGTCTGCAGCAAGCATATTAGACTACTGCTGGGTTACCTTTAACTTTTAGACCTAGAAGGGGCTTTTCCTCATGAGATGACTTTTCTTGTCTTGCTGCCTCCAAAGCAAACAGCTTGCTTGAAACTTGAAAAGTCAGCTTTTTTCTGCAGGTCTTTCTTTCAACAAGAATTTTCTGTTCTCCCAGCAGTACTGGGTTGGACTGCGTGTCTTTTCAAGTGCAAATTCCCAACTCAGAAGGCTCTGGGTGAGGCTCAGGATTCCACCTAAGGGCCCATACAAAGGTTTATCAGGAAGCTTGTTTACCTGGGCAGATTCTAACTTCTCTTTTAGCAAATAGAGACTGGCTTACAAACCTTCTGTAATCGTAATTCCCAATATTCATTTCTATTACACATGTATGTCTCTTTAGACCAGTGTCCACAAGGCAGTTAAACACAAAAGTCTTTTTTCCCCCCTCCCTTACTCATTCAGAACCAACTTGAAGGCACTTAACAACAACAACTATTATTGTAGAGCTATCTATTTCTTTCTCCAATTCTATTAGAATTTGATTTATGTATTTGAGTCTCTTTCCTTCGGAGAACAGGTATTTATTATGGAAATAATGTCTTTCCTTGTCTCTTATGCTGGTTTTTGCCTAAAAGACTTTTTTGTCAGAGATTAATATTGCCACTCCTGGTTGTTTTTGATTGCCATTAGCCCAATAAATTTTTCCATCCTTTATGTGGTGCTGTGGGTTAGTGTGCCAGACTGCAAAGCCATTTGAACTGCAAGGTTGGTGGTTCAAGCTCACCAGCTGCTCCTTGGAAACCCATACAGGGTCGCTATGGGTTGGAATCAACTCAACGGCACTTAACAACAACAGCAACAGCAACAATTTTTAATCTGTGCTTGCCTTTTTGTGTAAGATGTGTCTCTTGTAGACATCATATTGAAGGATCTTGTTTTCCATTCTGCTACTCTCTGTCACTTGACTGGTGCATTTAAATTTAAGCATTTGATCTTTAGCATGCATATCAATTGGTATGAATTGATTGCAGTCAGTTTGCTGTTTTTTTTTTTTTTTTTTTTGGTGCTGCTGGTTTCTTTGTTCCACGTGTTTTCCTGTGCTGAGTTCATTTGTGTATGTGTGTGCCTTTTCTTGTTAATTTCGTCATCATTTAATGTTTACAAAGTCTTCATAGATATTCCTTTTCTTGATCTGATTTGAAGGTATATTAAGTTTCCTTGAGGTGACCCTGTAATTTACTTATTTCCCAGTTTAAAATAATATGCTTTATCTTGAAATCTACTTGACCTCCTTGCCACCTGTAACTGTATTTTTCCTTCCCTTCACTTTGAAGTTGGCTTCATTATAGATTGGTATTTCTGATTCCTTATCTTCAGTCTTGTAGTTTCTTTTTACTCTGTATACGTTGACCTCTAGATTGCATTCTGGGTGGTGTTCCCATGTATGTCAATCTCAGACTGATGTCTGTTGTTTGGGTTTCTCAGTCCAAAGGACTCCCTTTAGTATTTCCTGTACAATTTACTTAATTATTATAGATTCCTTTAATTTCTGTTTATTTGGAAATGTTCTAATTTCACTGTCATATTTGAGGGGCAGTTTTGCTGAGTATATGATTCTTGGTGGGTTTTTTCTTTCTTTGTTTTATGTGTTTCCCCATCACCTTCTTGCTTGCATGGTTTCTACTGAGAAATCAGAACTTAGTTTTATTGGTGTTCCTTTCTAGATAACATTTCATTTTTCCGAGCTGCTTTCAGGGATTCTTTCCCTGGTTTTGCTTTTGGAGAGTTGGATTATGATACGTCTTGGTGATTTCTTAGTGATATGTCTTGGTGATTCTATCCTGTTTGTAGTTCATTCAGCTTCTTGAATGTTTTATCTTCTCATCTTTAGTGATATTAGGGAAATTTTCTTCCAGCAGCTATTCAACTATCCTTTCTGTAATTTTCTCTGTCTCTTCCTGTTCTGGAATTCCTATCACCCGTAAGTTATTCCTCTTCATGTTATACCACATGAATCTTAGGCTTTCTTCATTTTTTTTTTTTCATTCTGTTTTCTGATTGCTCTTCTAGCTTACTGATACTGAGAGATTTATTCTCAAGCTTGCTAATTCCGACTTCCATTGATCCAAATCTACTCCCCTGCCTTCTGGTGCAGTGTCCATTTCTAGTATCTTAGTACTATCTTCTGGATTTCTGTTTGCAGGTTTTATATTGTCTCTAATGCTTTTATCTATTTTGTTTGATCGTTCCTATAGAGCTTTTCTGAATTCTCCCTTGTTTTCCTCGACCTTTCTGTCAGTCATTTGGATGTACCTAAATATAATTCTCCTGAATTCCTTTTCAGGTAGTTCAGTACCTCTTATGCCTCAAAAACAATTTCTAGCTCTGCATCTTGGTCATTTGAACTACTCTGTCTTGTTTATTCATGGGAACAGAAATTTTCTGCTGCTTTTCTAGGCATTGTGATGGTGTTGTATTTGTATTAAGTTGATGAACATATGTTGGCATATTCTTAGGCACTCACCAGTTGCCTCCTGGTGAGGTGTGAGCAGATGTGCTTTCCTGTTCATGATTCATACAGTTCAATTCAGAATGGATGTAGTTGCTTTTGGTTGTAGTCACTGCTCAGTTTTATAGTAGTTGGTCTTGGCTCTTGCCCAGTTGGTAGGGTTATAGAGTGTACAGTTCAGTTGTCTGGCCACAGTTTCTGTCTCCTGTTGGATGAGGCATGAAGAAGGAAAACAAACCAAGTAACCAGGCATCACCATGAAAAATAAGAGTCAAAGATTTCTCTCTGCCAATAAGCAGTATAGTGCACCACCTACTGACCTGTTACCTTCACAGAGAAAGTTCAGGATGGCTATGCTGTGTCCAGTGGGCCCCACACAGATCACCAGCCTTCTTTCCTTAC